CCCCCCTTCCTAGCCAGAGCACTATCACTGCCCCGGCTGGCTGAGAAGGGGCTGGGGGTGGGAAACCGTGCCCCACAGTATCCTCCTCGCTGTTTGAGTAGCAGGAGCAAGGGGTGTGACCAGACAACAGCAGCTTGAGGGGAAGGGGGATTTAATCCCCCCTCCCCTCCATCTCCCACTGGCATGGGACCCCGTCTGGGGTCTGCCTGGCTTTCCCCTCCACTCACTGCTTTAGCATGGCCAGACCCCAGCCCCAGGCCTGAAGCGAAGGGGAAAAAGGAGGGGGAAATCACAGAGAAGAGGAGCTGGCAGGGACCTCCAGAGGTCCTCTAGTGTCTAATCCAGCCCCTGCCTGAGCCCTGGCCAGACCCTCCTGTACAAGCACAATCTAAAGAGCAGAAGATTTGCTCACAGCGCCCACAACTGAGAACACCCACTGGGGGGCTCTGTACTGCTGGGGAAAAAGGCCACCAAGGGCTTCCTATGGATGGTTTTCTCCCCGCTCCAAAGCAGGGCCCAACACTGTGTCCCTCTAGCCCTGAACCCCAAGGCAGCATCGCACAGAGGCTCCCCCCCCCCCCCAAAACCCCGTGGGGGGGGGGGGGGGAGAAAGAGCCCTGCACACCCCGCAGCAGTTCCATAACAGTCCAGCCTGGCATAGGTGCGGGTGTAACAGAGCACAGGGTGTACTCTGTTACTCACAGGGGCATGAGCAGACAGCCAAGCAGCTTGCAGGTGGCTGCACTCTGAATCAGGCACAATTACTTGATTGGGAACAGGGCCCAGCTGTTCTTTATAAGAGAAAAGCCCTGAGCACTGTGGCCAGCAGTCTGCTGCTAGCAGCTGGGAGAAGAACACCCGGCTGGAGCTGCTGCTCAAACCATCCTGGAGGTTTAGGGTAGGAGCTATGGGGAAGGTGGAGGCTCCTGGTCCTGGGACATGACCTAAAACTGCACCCTGCTTGGGCTGGATGGTTTAGTGGAACTGCCAGTGGCAGGGCAGTCTCCAGGAAATGCCACACCTGGGCCTCCCCAGTGAAGGGCAAGTATGGGGTGCCAGAAAGCCTCAGCCCCCACTGCCTTGTGGATGACCCAGTGGAGTGGAAAAGCTAGGGGAGACACACCCTAAAGAACAAAGCAAGAGTCCAGGCTCACAGTGAGTCCTGAGGCAGGGCCCAGTTCATGAAGGGATCCGAAGAAGTTTCCAGGCTCACTGAGAGTCCTGAGTTGCAGTGTGAGGCTCCAGGGAGGTGGGGCCCTAAACCTACTGGGGAGCTGTGTGTGAAGCTCCTGGAGCAAAGGGATAAGGGAATTAAAGCCCAGTGTCAGGCACGGGATGAGCTTGGGGATATTGAGAAGCCCAGAGTGAGGAATATGGGGCTTGAGGCCCAGTGTGGGGCATGAGGGAACCAAGAGGGTGCCAAGCCAGGCACAGAGCCTAGGGAAAAGGTCACAGCTGGGAGCCCTGAGTACATGGTTTTAAGTCCCAGTGTGAGGGCACAAGGATCACAAGTCCCAACGTGAGGTCATGGGGATTGCGAGTTCCAGTGTGAGGGCACAAGAGTGAGAGTCCCGGCATGTGGCACTGGAGTGAGGGTCCCAGTGTGAGGGCACAGGAGTGCGGATCCCAGTGTGAGGCACTGGGGAGATATGGATGCCACCTGCGAGGCATGGGACACAGTATAGGGAAGGTCAGAGTCATGTACATAGGCCCTTGGCAAGTAAATGGGCAGCCTTCCACTTGGTTAACATCTAATTACTATCATCGAAGGTGTGGCAAACGTGGGAGGCAGGCAGTTAGCCCAGAGACAAGTGGGCTGGCCAACGATTTGACTGGCCCCAGGATGCCCACTTGTTACAGCAGAGAGCCAGGAGCAATCCAGGTACACAGCTCCCATAGCCCTAACTGGCTGGGAAAGGCCCTGCCCCCATGGCCCAGCCCAGCTCAGCCCCTCCGTTCCCACCCTCAGCAGCATCTGAAGGCTGGCCCAGCTCAGCCCCGCAGCCCCAGACAAGACAGGTAGATAGCAGGGCCGGGCTTCAGGGACAAGGCCCTTCTCAGCTGGCTGCAGCTCCCACAGCCACAACCCAAGCCAGAGGGGGAGAGGCGTGCCCACCATAGTGGCTCCATGATAGCCCGGCCCAGTCTGGGTGTGGGGAGCCAGGAGTAATCTGGGTGCACAGCTCCAGCAGCCCCAAGCTGCAGCCAGCTGGGAAGGACCCTGATCCTGCGGCCTGGCCCCATCATCCACCAACTGTGCTGGACAGAACATCATGTGCAGATGCCCAATTCTTCACTCCCAAAACAAGTGCTGTACTCCCAGCTTCACGGTGGCTTAACATTTTATGGCAGCCAGAGGAAATGCTACGAGGACATGTTGAAGGCATACCTCAAGAATATGGATGCTGACATCAAGAGCTGGGAGGAGCTGGCTGCTAACCAACTCCAATGGTGCCACAACCTCAGCCAAGTGGCAGCCCACTTTGAGGTAAAGTATCTTGCCCTCAAAGCAGAGAGGAGAGAACAGAGGAAGAGAGAAGACAGAAACCACAGCATATAGCCTACTCTGCCTTGAAGAAAGAACTGCAACTTCTGCAGATGGATCTCTGGCTCAAAGATGGAACTCTGAAGTCCCCTCAAGACCCATCAATGAGCTTTCCTCCATCTTTAAATCAAGGGCTTGTCAATGAGTAGGACCTCCAGTTATTCTTGTTTATTCGCAATGCTTCTTACATTAGTATATAAACTCAAATACCCTATATGTATACACACACACACACGTTCTCAGGCAGAAGACTGGACAATGTTCCGAGAGAAAGTGTACACACACACACACACACACCTGGCTGTCCAATCTTCTCCCTGAGAACATTACTAAGGCTTCTGATATTGCTTCTCCATACTATGTTTTTAGCCAGGTCCCCTGACTACTTATCTCTAGACTTTTGTCTCAATCTCCTGATAATTACTATAAGGCAAATTTATACCTCTTCAGATTAATACACAAGTGCCCAAAGCTGCAATAAAATCACTCAGCTGGCAACTTAAATCTTGTTATGGTTTTTTTTCCCTCTTGCATGGAGAAATGTGGTACAACAGTAATAAAAGCAAATAAAATGTAAGTGTGATATTTATACTTCCACAGAACAAACCCATTTCCATTTGGTCAATTTATACATTCTATGATAGCAGCCACAAAAAAGCCCCACACAATGATTAACATGTATACATACTTGTAGCTCTCAACCTGTCGAGAGGAAGATACTGTAATGAAAGAATCCGTTCGAGAGCTGTAAGTTAATGGACCAGGCAGAAGAAAGCCAGGAAGAAATCGTCCAAAAGCATAACTTTCTTGTTCAAACAACATAAGCATTCCATCCATGGACTGTATGCATATCAAATCTCGACCTATATGAAATCGAAACAAAGCAATGTTAATCGGCCATTTATTTTTTAAGTAAACACATGGGCCTGAATTTTTATATACTTTAAGTGTAAAGGAACACTCTTTTACCATTGGCAGTATAAAGGGGCTTTAAAATGGGCACAAGTGTAATTTACTTCCAATATAATGACCTTTTGCACTGTCAAAGCTATCTAAGGAAACCTTATTGTTACTAAGGCTTAGGTTTCGAGTTACATTTAGCTAATAGACCACTTATGACTCAAAACAGAATAGAATGAAGTCTTAAAACCCAAACAAATCTATGGAAAAGCATCCATTAACTTAATGAGCCCATGACTTCACCCAGTATGTTCAAAGTTAAAGCTAATGCTCTACTACCAATATTTATATTGGCCCAATTAGGACTCTGCACAATGGAATGACTGGGAATAAAAAGAGGAGGGAAAAGAAATTGGCTAATTGGAGAGCAAAGAACATCCATAGTGCAAATGAAACAAAGTCAGATTCAGTGACTCCACTGCCCCAATGTCCTGCCTTTTCTAGCGTTCTAACCCCACCAGACCTTTTGAATCATAATCCTCTGAAATATATTATCTGTGTAGTTCATAAAAGACCAAGGAGTTAAGCTTATAGAACAACAAAGCTTGTTTATTCAGAGAGCAGAGCCCAGCCTACTGTTGTGCTGTTCCCTTTGGTTGCCTCCTCAAATCCCAAGGCAAATGTAACAACTTATACATAACACTCTTAAAGGTATCCACACATCTTCTCCCTTTACGTGCAACATATCCCTTGTAATACTAATACTGGAAGTTAGTTCAACCCACAGTTAAAGCACATTTTAACAGGCCTCTACTAGTCTTTGTGTTGGCTTTTCAGCTCTAAGTGATCTTCTCAACTTCTCTGCATTCTCATTCCCTACTGGTTCGGTTCTTGTTTGGTTTCCTTGTTCAGATGTCTCTACTTCTGTGTCATTTTCAATCTCCTCTGTCATTTCTTGTTGCTTTGTTGTTAGCGGTTTCCTTTGGTGAGTCTTGTGATGCTGCTTCTTTTTTTCCCTTTTACAAGCTGAAAGTGTCATCTGCTGCTTCTTAACACCTGTCCTTCCGGTATGACAACTTTATAGGATCTGGAAACTACTTGATGGGAAAGTAGTGCTTTTTGTTTCCATGTTCATTCATCTGAAATAAGCACCATATCTTTGTTGTGCAGTTATAGTAACTCCCTGGAACCCCTGTCATAGTACCATTTTTGTTTGAGTTTGTTGATTTTTTAAATTTTTTCATGTCTTGCTTTTCATTCTGATGAGCATCATCCACAAGGTTTGGCAGCCTGGTTTTGAGTTTCCTGTGCTGAGGACAATCCATGTTTCATGGGTGTTGCCCTGTAATTTAAGAGTAACGGGTAAACATCCATGTGTGAATCTATGGCTTTTTTTTCAATTTCTTCATTATTTGTAGTCGAGTACTATTTGTACTCCACCTTCCACCAGGCCATTGGATTATGGGTATTTAGGACTTGAAGTGATATGATGGAATCCATATTTGTTTGCAAACTCTTTAAATTCAAGATAGTTGAACTGAGGTCTGTTGTCTGTTCTCGCAGTTTGTGGAATCCCATGTCTAACAAAAATCGATTTGATACGAGTTATGAGACAGTTTGCTGCTTTACTTTTGAGCCATGAAATTTCAGAACAGTGAGACTAATAATCAAGCACCGATACATAATTTTTTCCTGCATGCATAAGTTGATGCCCACTTGATACCACAGAGCTCCATGACCATCATGGGCTCTTTTCTTTGCACTGATCTAGGCACGTTGTACAAGCCTTTTACAGTATCTTCGCTGTCATTATTTATGTTGGGCCAATGTAGAGCACCCCTTGCTCTTCTTTTGCATTCTGAAATGCCTAGATGCCCCTCATGTATTCTGTTTAACGTCTTTCTTTAGCACTGCTGGAACAGTAAGTCGTGAGTCTTTGAACAAAATGCCACCTGGTATTGACAGCTCTTCCTTAAGCTGAGAGTAGTGGTTATGTATATGTTTTCCAAGCCAACCAGCACAAATAGCTGTTATCACTTTTTGCAATGTGGTGTCCTGAGCAGTAGCTTCTGCAAGTAGTGCCCACATTTTATCTGTGACAGGAATCACTCTTTTACTTAGAGTAACACATACTATGTTTGAGTCAGGAATCCTGCTGCTGAAATGCCTCAGAAACCACTGTGGGCTGCATAAAATGGCTCCATGGGCCAGATTCAGCTGGAAATGCATAAAGTTGCTGACCTGAACTAAGCTACTAGAAAGCTGAAATGAAATGAGTGTAGCTGTATTTTTATTTTATTTATGTGAAACTTTTTAAAACTTACCGGTAATTTAACTTTTAACGAAATCTGATTTAACTGCCAATCTCTAAATGTAGATTTCCAAGTAAAATGGTTTATTTAAACAAACCTCTACAAAAACTATAAAATTAGTCAGTATTGTATAACACAGAACATTTTCTTTATCTCCCAAAGTGTAAAAGATTTTGGTAGATGATTTTACTGACCACTGATGTAAAACACATTCATCTTATCCAAGCGCTTTAATAAGGCAGAAATAGCACTTTGGTTTAACAAAATCATAAATCAATGCATAGAAAAGAATTTCCTTCAACCTTAGAAAAATGCCACTCCTCTTATTAAACATGAAACAGAATGAAACAGTCCATTAATCAAGAGTCTACAGTGACTTCTAAAGGAAACTTAGCTAAGCTAACAATGAAAACTAATCTTCTAAAGTTAAATCATGTAAGGATCTATACAGATCACCTACATTTTGCAAAAAGTATTTGCAACATGGAAACCATTAAAGCACTGTTTAAAAGCTGACTAACATTTTGCCAGCTAGTGAAATCAGCCAAACTAGTGCCTTTTACTACACACTCTACAACTGAAAGTGATAAAGATCATATATATCATATCAGTAGCTTTTATGTCACTGGCTACTAGATTCACTGACAACTTCAATTTGATTATTAAATTCCATCAAGTTTTATTTTAAAACTTGTTTCAGGTTTCTAAACAGCTGATCTATAAATGTAGATTTTTAAGTAAAACATTTTATTTAAGCAAACCTCTTCAAAAACTATAGTCAGTCTTATATAAGACAGAACACGTGCTTTATCTCCCAAAGTGTAAAAAAATTTGGTGGATGATTTTAGACCACTGATGTAAAACGCATCCATCTTATCCGAGTGCTTTAGCAAGGCAGAAATAACACTTTCTTAATCTTTCCTGTTACTTTGGTAGGTAGGATTCATACATCTTCTTAGGAAATGCAAATTCTTTAACTCTGTTAACAGTTAAAAAAATAAATAAATAAAAGCTTCCTATTACCAAATTCAATCCTTTTAATAGAATTATGGATTTAACATGTACAAATCTTGAAGTGTTTTCTAAACGAGACAATTGTTTTAGAGTTACAATTTTCCTTAGGTTTTCTTACACTAAAACACATGTTTTTTAAATTATAAATCAGGGTTTTTTAATTATAAGCCAGGCTTCTGTTCAACCTAGGTTTTATTGTTTATAAAATCAGAAACATATTTTATGTTATATACACATACACCTACTACATATGGAAAGCCAAGCTTCGTTTGAAAATGTGTACAAAATAATTTTATTAAAGAACCTTACTGGTCATTTGACTACTTATGTACTATTTACATGGCTCAAAAGATCAAATGTCACACTGTATGGCATTCAGGAGATTAAATCTACCACTGAACACAGTGAAAATAAACTTTCATTTGTTGCTTAAAGGCCAAGAATTTCTGAAGCACTAGCCAAGATCACACAAATGATTTAAACAACATATGATTCTGAAATTAGTCAAGGGAAATGATGTACAAGTAATTTTATGCAATGTTTAAACAAAAATAAAGCAAGGTGCATGAATCAGATTTTTTTAAGGGTTAATATTAAGGGTCTAACTTAATTTTGAATTTCTTGGTCTGGTAATTTAAAGAGCTGATAACATCCTTAATTGATATCTCAACAAAAAATTAAACAGCATTTATTACAATTCTAAAAAGCAGTGGAGTAAGTCTGAACCAAAATATGAGAACTGGATTCAGTCCTCTCCTGGTTAGTGAAAACTTAGTAAATTCCCTGTAAACTTCTTAGTCACTTCTGCCTGAGATAAAGGTTTGAACCAGATCAAGTACGGATCAAGGTTTGAACCAGTGTTGAGAGAGAGAGACAGACAGACAGACAGACAGAGAGACAGAGACAGACTTAATATAATGCTAATAGCTGTACCATGAACTGCATAGCATCTCTAGTTTGTAAATGGCGTCTACTGAAAAAGTGAACATCTTCTCTCCAACCTCTTCTTACCACTTCTGACCTTGATATGATTTAGAAACTGATAAGCAATCGCCTCAGCAAGTCATGCAAGCACTCCAAGCAACTCCATGCTTGCAACTATCCATGCAAGTACTCTTTGATATATTCCCTAACCTTTGCTGTTGCTGATCAGAAAATACAATCCTACTAGAAAGACTTCTCTCCTCATCCTGCCCATCAGCCAGGGCCATCCCTGGGGCGAGGGGGGGGGGGGGGGGGGGTGGTGGAAATCAGGGTGACTGCCCCGGGCCCCGCTCTTTGGGGGGCCCTACAGAGCCAGGCAGAGCAGCTGCAACTCCTGGCTCCCCCCCCCCCCGCCATTGCCTGCGGGAGCTTTTTCAGATTCAGGGCACGTGGGATAAAAAAAAAAACAAAATTACAATCTACTTATAGTCTATTAAAGACCAAGAGTGTCTTTCACATTTGGCTGGTTGAAACCTAGTTCCTTATACACCAGTGGTGCTCAACCTTCTGGTCCTGCAAACTGGAAGTTCTGCTCAGGCCTGCACTGCCCTATCCCATATGCCCAGATCAGGGCTCATGCTGCCTCTGCTCTGCCTGATCTAGTATGCAAGGCCACAGCCTGTGGGGTTTCCCATCAGTCCAGAAATTTGTCA